AAGGGCGAGACTGAAAGATGAAACGGGCAGCGGCGGGAAGCCGGAGGAGAAGGCGCGATAACGGGGAGGGCGGGGGGGGAGGGGGGGCGCCACGATTGGACATCGTCGGCAGGAGAGCCTGGTGAACATGCCCTTCTGGTGGGAATGCGTCTCGCTCTCGTTCTTCTCGTGTGACTCAGTGCAAGAATGGGCCCATTTCACATTCTTGAAGCCACCATGATTCTCCACATCAGCGGTGAAACTTTGTCTGTCGCTGTTCCCGCCAGGCATTTCCAACCATAAGTCTAAGGCCTTCTGAGCGTCAGCGCGGGGCCCTTCGGAGGCGCCCTTCCTGTGGTTCGTGGCACGGTAGCGGAGCGAGTGCTCGAAGCTCTTCACCGCTTCGGGATCAGCTGTCGCAACCTCCCGATCGGTATCAGCAGGCGCCTGTTCCTGGTGGTCAGATGGCTTCTTCTCTTGTTTGGTCAGGGGCAGCTGGAACGTTTTGGCCGTCTCCTTCTCTGACTTCGGAGCCAATGATGGGGGCGGCGCTGGCGGTGAAGATTCTGTCGCCGTGGGATGCGCAGGCGCTGCTTCAACTGGAGCCGCGGCGGGCCTCTTGAACGCGGGAGGATGCGCATCCTCGTCGGGATCCTCAGGCATCGCAGCTGCTGGCATCTCGGCCACCATATCTGCAATTCCGACGCGGATTGATGCTGCGCGGGTGGGGAAGCTCGCGAGAAGAACGATTGCGCAGAGGCAGAGCGAGAATAACGTCATCGCATGATCCAGCAAACAGCTACAGACATGTCGGATCGTTCAGAGCACGATTGCGGATGCCAACGTCGCGACCAAGCGAAACGACGCGCTGACTGACCACAACAGGTTGCTTATTGCGCGCACCGTAAGCCGTTGAGGAGGCGGATGGAGAAGGAAGCAGTCAGCCAACTCAACAACCAAGCGCACGAAACTCTGAGTGACGAAGACGACCAGACCGAGGCTATCAAGTATCAGCAGAATGAGCCACCACCACCATGCCAGACCATACCATACAGGATATCATGCAATATTACATGGTGCTGATAAACTCAATGGTGCACGTACACACACCACCACACATGGTAAACTAGTTTACCAAACATGTGTTTTACTTCTTGTTCTGTGAAATAAATTGTTACGGGTGATATCTTTTGCTTGTATATTTGGTCCTCCCTTGGGATGCACAGGGTATCGCGTTTGCTGACAGAACAGATGACTACCCATTTGGGTGGAAAAAGGTAGTTTTCCATAGCGGCAACCGCTGTCTAGAAACGAGACTCGTTCGTAGCATGAGCGACGGTACGCGCAACGTGCAATTTAGATTCCGAAGCTGTCCAGAATTTCACGCACTGTTGTTCCTGACAACTATGCGTTGTCGACCATGCGAAGCATTTACCGTCAGTCGGCTGCGATTTGTTCATGAAGAATCTGCGTCGCACTTGAACCGCATTTGGGTCCCTTCAACTCAAGCTGCGCGATCAGTTGCCCTGCCTCCTTCTGAGGAGGCATACTACAATATGAAATGCAAGACTCTACCCATTCAATATGCCTCTACCCCCCCCCCCCCCCCCCCCCACACACGCACACACACACACACACACACACACACACACACACACACACACACACACACACACACACACACACGCACGCACACGCCCCACCGCCACCACCGCGCTGCAAGTCTCGCCGCGGGAGGGCGAGGGCACGGTTTCAGGCGCTGAAGGTGGCGAAGATTCAAGGGGCGCGCCTCCTTGATTCAGTGCGAACGGGCATGGGGGCTCCCACTCCTTCCTCGGTTTCTTATTGGGGCGTGGCGCGTCGTAATTGGCGGCATCGCTCTTGTCCTTGGGCCGCCTGCGAGATGGCGCGGATCCGCCCCCGCTGCCGCCGCTTTCGTCATCATCGTCTGGGGGCTGCTTTACGTTGCTGGGGGGGCGGAGGCAACCTCCGACGATGGTGCAATTCTCGTCGGCGTCGGCAGTGGTTTCGTGCTTCGCGGCAGGGCCTGATTTCGCGGCAGCGCGAAGCCCGTCGCTCGGCTCGATCACTGGTGACGGCGGAAGAATGAGAGGAGCGATTGGCGCAACTGGTGGAAAAGGGTGCTGTCCCACAGCTGGCGCTGCCACCAATGGAGGCGGTGCTGCCTGCGGGATCGGGGCTGGCGGTGCGAGCGGCGCTGCTGCTGCCATCTGCTGCTGCATCTGCTGAAGCTGCTGCATCTGAAAATGCTGCATCTGCTGCATCTGCTGCATGATCGTTGCTCCTGGGTCCGAATCTGCCGCCCCCGTCGGCTTCGGAACGGGATCGGGGGCTGGCTCTGCCTGCGGAGGCTCTAGCCATCCCTGCGGGGCCAGCCGTTCAGCAGAAGACACTTCCCGTCCCTCCGTCGCCTTCGCCGACGAGGTCCACCTGCGGGAAGGGGGCGGGCGCGCTCGCTCTCTCTGTCTCTTTCTCTGTTTTTCTCTCTGTCGTTATCTCT